CATCGGATTTAGCCAATATCGAGTATCCTTAATTTAATTTAAAATTACGTGGAAGAGCCGCGTTATCAACGCGTCTATAAACAGAAAACGAGCAAACAACGTGACAAGGTCCGGAATTAGCTCGATGATGAAGGAGCAAAGGGAAACGCAACGTCTTGTTTGTACGGCGTTTCATCACGCTTTATTGTCCGTGGAAGGCGCGGGAATTAATTAAAGTTAAACAGTACTAACTGACCGGCAAGCGCGTTAACTGCCGGCTATTGTCGGGAAAGTCGGGAATGATGGTTAGCCTCGTTCCCGTGGATCTCCGACGTAACGACTTGCGTCGAAAAGGGATCGCTGAGGGAACTACTTCTTGTTTACTCTCGCGAGATTGAATTGAACCCGGATACATCGAACATTTTCTCTTCCCCCCCCCCCTCTCTCTCTCTCTCTCTCTCTCTCTCTCTCTCTTTGAACGAGTCACACTCACAAAATTACTCCGTAGCTCTTTAATGTTGGCAATGTACGAAAATATGTACACGGAGAGAATTTTTTCTTAAAATTTATCTTGAACATCAAGTAATCCTGGGGCATTTCAAAAAATTTTATGAGAACTTTTTGAAATTTTACCATACATTTTACAAGTAATTATACTTACTATACACTTTCCTAGTAGAGCGTATGGTAAAATTTCACAAAACTCTCGTAAAGGTCTTCAAAATGTCATGTTGTCCCACAGTTACATGATGTTCAGGATAAATTTTAAGAGAAATTTCTCTCCGTGCATATTGTACACTTCCGAAAAGTATGTAGAATTGCATAAGCAAGCTTAAGCATTTCCCCGTAAAATTTACCCTGAAAATCATATAATCGTGGGGCAACGTGGCACTTTGAAGCATTTTATGCATATTTTGAAATGTTACCATACATAATTTACTAAAGAGAGGAGGGTACAAGGTATGGTAAAATTTCAAAAAACTCTCATAAAATTCTTCGAAATGCCATGTTGTTCCAAGACTCCATGATTTTCGGGATAAATTTTAAAAGGGAATTCTCTCCGTGTATAATTAAAGAAAAACAAGTGTGTAAAATTACACTAACAACTTACAAATTATACTAGATTAAAGTTACAAGACGAAGATAAAAATTCTCGAAACTACAAGGCCGTCGTTGCGTAAAGCCATTTAGCTTGGAATAATTTTTATTTTCAATTGATAACAACAACATTTAAATGTACATTACGATCGACTAGTGTGAGGTATTCTCTTGTTCCTCTCATTCTATTTGGTATGATCGTACAATAACAGTTAACCGCGTTGAATCCGATAATGTTGCAAGTCGCTCGAATGCGCTTTAGGTATACATTTAGCGCACCGATAAGAGCACAAGCGACTTCATCGGGTCAAAGTGCGACGAAGCTACACGACAGAAGAAGACAGTTCACACCTACAGATAAACCCTATCTACACGAATATAAATAAATATTTACAACGATCTTAAATTAGATCTTAACTTAACGTACGAGTCGAAATTGGGAAACACGCGCGTTAAAAGAAAATCAGAAACGAGGAATCAAGTCGAGAAACCGAATATACAGGGTGTGTCAAATGTCTCCCCGCAGCTGCAGATTCCTCAATGAATTTAAGCTCAATCTATTTGTCTCGAATTTAACTGACACCACTAATCATAAATATTTATAACCAAATAATATGTTAGACAATAATTGCATAATGTTATGTTAATTAATAATAATGTGTTTAACCAAACAATATTGTTAAATGTGTTAATTTCAAAACTCTATTACATACTCTATTAAATATTCTGCTGAAAATGTTCAATATAGCATCAATTAAACATAATATCCGCAAAATCCGTAATTTGTGTAAACCCATTTGTCGATATTAGACATTGAAAGAGGCCATTATTCTTTCCATCGAACTTCCCTAACGCCTCCAAAAAGTGATCTCAAATCCGAACAATATCCGTACAGAAAAATGATGAAAGTTCTGTATACACCCTGTACGTAAGAGACGTGGGTGGTCCACGGGTGGCATATATAGCAGTATCTTCTTCCAGATTACAAGAAAAAGAAATCTGTGGGGACCGTAGCGCGGCTCGCCGGTGGCATCGAAGGGAAAGGTGGCGCGGACTAACTGGCCAGGAAATGTCCTCCACCTCCCCTCTGCCGCCCTTATCTGATCTAAATTTCTAATTTCACGGGAAACGGAGAGACCGGATTAACACCGTCGATATACACACGACAGGCACGGTAATGTCGCACCCTCCCGGCACAGATCGTTGTCTCGTCGAGGAACGATTAATTATCTCGACGCCTTGTCGACCGAGTCGTGAGTGCACTTTCAGGAATCGGATACCGTACACTTTTGGAGCCCGTAAAACTCCTCCGCGCGGCACGGCTGGCCGCGCGCAGCAGAAAAAGCTACTTTGCGACTGCTGTTAAAAATCTCGTACCTGATTGGCGTATGCTCTCAATCTCGGCCGAATCTAAGAAACGTAGTCCAGTCAGATTCACAAATTTTACAACAGTCGCGAAGCAGTTCTAAGCCACTGTGACTCACGCGTGATTAAATCTATATCGTCTCTCACGTTCCTCGTTTTTAATAATCCCGCACGGCACGCGCGACACGTGGTCCAACAGCGAGACGGCACGACGCACGACGAATTATTTACGTAACCCAAATTGGTGAATTACGGTTGCGTAAGTTTCCCGATTTATGAACACGTCGCGTTTCAGCCGCGAACGAATTATTTAACGTCCGCCAGTTCATGGCTCTTAATCGAGATTTTGTACGGCGCTCACGCGCGCGCGTCGAAACGAGCCTCGAATTTCTCCTCGTGTATGACGGGGAATAAATTATGTTGAAGAACATCGGAGATCGGGAATATCCTCGGCTGACAACGACCGTACACGCGAAGCGTGTGCAGTACCGATGCCTAATGGGGAAAGTGAAATGTACCGGCGGCGTAAATCAGAGAAAAAGAAGCAATTGAAATGCGCGCTAAAAGTTCGACTCGACGTGCAGCGAATACTGTTTTTCGTGTGAACTATGAGTTTACAGCATCTAGTAATATAACGTATATCTAGAAACATATACAGTCCCATTCGTCACAGACATTTAAAAAATTCGTCGGCTTACGACAAAATGTTTTCATCATGGTGCAATTTCTCGCCTCAGGCATTTTGTCAAAAAAAACAAATTCATGGGACATCGTGACGTATGAGTGCATACGCAATTCTTATAAGAATCAAAAGATTCGCTGGTTATTCACAAGACTTACTTGTAAACGTAATACTATAATATTTAATATAAATATGCAAGATAAATATAATTAATTATATTAATTATATTATCTGATATAATATATTTATATTTATAGCATGTAGAGTATATTTAACGTTAATTATATTTGTATTTATCTCTATGATATAGTATAAATATATTGTTAATTATACATTTAAAATATAATACATAAATATATTAATCATATATGCTTACAATATAATATAAATAATTTGTAAAGCATATTTACAGAAGAATATACACGAAAATCTGCGTGCACGTAATAAAATTAAATGTCTCTCTCTCTCTCTCTCTCTCTCTCTCTCTCTCTCTCTCTCTCTCTCTCTCTCTCTCTCTCTCTCTTGCACATGTCAAAGTAGAAAATTTATAAGCGCGCGCATCAACAACAATTCCCCTGTAACAATTCTATTCACGTAATCTATCCTGTAAGGAAACAAGATAGATATGTAAGGAAGATGATTTCAGAAAATTTTCAACTCACTGACTAGACATAACAAACTCTTAAGAGCAAACGTAAATTATATCAAGTTAATTACACTTGATAACAGTCTGCAACGTCTCTATTTAAAATACTGTGCTATTGCATAAAACGTCAAACAAGAGCCTCTCCCTGCTAATTCTGTGTCATTACTAACGCCAATATTAGAGTTCAAAGTTGTAATTTTGCTCTTTGTGACTGTACAGTGTCGTGTACTGACGTAGCTGCGTCTCGTCCATTTTGAATTAATTCCAGAGAGAATGCCTCGAGAATGCCTATCTGTCAACAAATGTGCTTTTCTCACGAATCACCCACGAAGAAAAAAAAAAGAAAGACTGCCCGTGAAGAAATGAGGTACGAGAGGCACCGAAACATAGTAGTTATCATGTTTCCAGAGCTGAGAGCACAAAGAACCATAAACTTCAGGTGAAATTGACTGAGGTTTAACTGATTTTTCGCTTACTTACAGCATCGAAATATGAAGAAGCGAATTATTTTGTATAATTATATAAAACAATTCGAATTAGTTTGAAACAGTTCGAATTAGTTGTAACTTTGAAATCAATTTTCATATTGGTCTCGCACTGCTCCCTTCCCCGTACTACACGTGCAAAACAAAGACCTGCGACACTTTGCCTCAGAAACAGTAATAGACGTTGTGCCTATTATTTAAAATTATAATTGTATAATTCTGTAATTATAATTTTACATACTACATAATTGAACGAGTTGCTCGCGCAATCAATTATCAAAACTTCCATATGACTTCAAGTGGTGAGCTTTAAACAAACCTATCGTTATTGCAGAAATTCTTATAGAAAAAAAATGTAATTAACGGATTAAAAATATGCAACTAAACATTATTTTAATTGTTAAAGAGTAACTTTAAAAAACATTTCAACGACGATTTGGCACTCAGAAGGTACGATATACGTCTTTGAGGCAGAACATCGCACGTACTTTAGTAAGAGCTCGTTAAGATTGCAGGCGGTATAAGGATAGAGGGGAAGCGGCTAGTGAAGAAACTTCCAATGAAAAGGCGACTAAATATATTCAACGAGTGACCCACTGGAATTGATGCCAGTCATAAAAAAATTAAAAATTATTATCAGCAATTTTTTTCGACACTCTTGAAGTCCATCCAGCAGGTGCTAGAAGAGCGCATTAAAATATAAAAATATATGTGTACAATTGATAATAAATTATAGCATAACAATAATACTTCGTACTCTCTAAAAGTCAATCGGTACACTGAAAACAGTTATAAGTAAGCACTGAATAATTAAGTGCTCTACTTATAATCAGTGAATACATACTGTTTTCAGCGAACGACTTTCAGAGAGTAGATTTTAATGAAAATAAGAAATCACCAAACAAAACAAACGCAAGGGTGGGATGCACGCAGATTGAAATTATATTAGAAACAAATATTGTCTCTAACGTCTCATAATGTCTTCTATAGTGAAGCCGAGTTTGTGCGTAGTGCTCTTCGGTATTGGCAGAAGACCGCTCACCCGCTCTGCCATTTGTCTAACCTCTGTAGAGGACATCATCCTGGAGTCCGACGACACCGAGGTCTCGATCCTGAGGTCCTGCGGGACATCGTGCGACAGTAGGTGTGTCTTCAAGTTGCTCCTCTGATTGAAGCTCCGATTACATATCGTGCACTTGTGCGGCGACTCCTCCATATGCATGACCTTGTGAACCGCCAGAGTCCTACTTTGGCAAAATCCTTTGCCGCACTCGTTGCATTTGAATGGCTTCTCCTTACTGTGTATATATCTAAAAATGTTAACAATTCGTCAGCCCTCGTTACAGGGGGTCTATGCTGTATCTTGGAACATAGTGAAAATGGTAAAAGTGAGCGGCTTTGTCTCTTTCAAAGGGGACGGTTATAAAGAGACAAGGCTACTCGCTTTCAGCATTTTCACTAAAGTGTAAGATACAGAAGTGACCACCAGACCCCGACCTTCTCTCTTACTGCTATTTGGTACAGTCCGGTTAAACTTACAACTATATAACGCGAGTTATACATAGACACGTATTCTTATCTGATAAATAATAATTTTGTTAATTATTTTTGTGTCTTTTTTATGTATTACGCTTGGTAATCCCTGCCTTCTTCTCGATAATTTTGATTAACTCTCCCACCTTTGATCGATATATCATAAACACATGGCGTCTACCATTAACAATATAGTTGATGATAAAAGTAAATTGACATTTTCTGTTTTTACAGGCATACGGATGATACAAAGTATCGATATCGATAAACGATTAATACATTGATTGCCATCTTCGCGCGCAATTCTCGTAAGCGGAGCAAGAACTCTCTTGCGAGAAACTGGTTTTCACTTTTTTTTCCACGAAATTTCATATAATTTTACGCAATTAGCGGGAGACTACCGAAATCGTAAGAACGTAATTCGAACCGGAACTGATTCGCACCATACCTCTTTCTAAGTAATAGTTCGCTGGCTCTACTGGAGGCCAGTGAACATAGCACTTCGTACTTAATCACATAAATACATCTCTAAAAAATTGAAAGGTACAGAAATACAAATTTTTTAAAGATTAGTTTCTTCAAATTGCCAGTATAATAATAAAATTCCACATTTCGTTCGACCACAGCTGGCCACATTTGTTAATTAATCGGCCAAATGCAGTGAGCAATTCGACCACTGAGGCACGTGGTAATATTTGCCGCAAAAATAGTGTAAAGATGACATCCTCGTGTCTGTTTTTCGACTTTAAACTGCGCGATTCGGGTTGTCGGCCGTACGCAGAACTGTCGATGCGCGATTTAGCGCAATAAATTTTCTGCACTGACCGATTAATTAACAAATTTTTTAATTTGACCGAAAAGGTGACGTCCGATGATTCTTGCGTAAAATTAAAAGACTCTTTTAAGGTGAAAGTTTCAAGAAGTCCTTATTTCTCTCCGTATCTCTTCCCGTATGTTTTATCACGTCTCTCACCGTATCTTTTCCGAGGTAACATTTTTTTTTTGGAGAATTGTGAACATAAGATATAAGAAGTTTTGCGTATTTATATGACCAAGCATAAATTTCTCTGCTCACTGTAGGACCTCCAGTAGGATTTCAGAAAAAAATTTGCCGGTCAGTTCCGGTTCAGTACTATCCCTTGTCAGTTACTGATTTATGCTTATGTGCTGACACATGTGTTTAACTTTGTTTTGCTTCCCTGTGTGCAATCGCAGAAAACCGTTCTCTTGAAAACTCTCCCGAACAGTAAGCACACGCGGCGTTTATTTGTATTATTTTAACACATTGTATTAGATCCTATTAATTCCCCAGTCCGATTTATTGTCTTCTTTTACTTCGGCGATGCAGTCCACTTGAAAAGGGTTCGGAAATGCTTGAGGAACGTTCGGAGCGTTGTTCGTAATAGATTGTACTCAAACAATATATAATTGATATAAAAGCGTAATATTTTAATATCCACTCGTGTAATCTTTTCAAATAATTATAAGAAATAGCCTGATATTACATCATACGGCGATAACATCGCTAATCGGTAGATGGACCGCGGACAGTGTGCGTACTCGTTATGAAAAATTATTCAGTCTACTACGCAGCCAGACGGTAATAACAATCGATTGATAATTATGCCAGGCTGGACAAATGGATTAGCACAATGAATCTGACATTCAGGGGGGACTAACGGCTACTATAAAGTGACTATTGCGACGTAGATAAATATTTCCGAATTACTAATTGCAAAAGGAACGTCAAAATTATTTAGGTATAGCAGAAATTTTCAAAGAAAAATTTTCTGAAAGGATTAAACTATAAAACTGCGCAAAACCCGTTTCCTAAGGCACTCAGTATGCTGGGGATTTTTCTTGTTCAACATATTCTTTATTTGTCAAATAAATAAATTATATGTAAATGAATTCTTTTGTAACGTAAAATTATATGAAAAAACATTGATCCGTGAACCACCAACATTTATGTACGAATATAAGTCCGTTACCATAAAAAATATGTTCGTTTTATGCCTTACTTTCAAAACGTTTAGTATTATACTTTCGAGAGATCGTAATAGGGTCGCAAGGACGTCGAATGTAACTGTAACGATTCGAGGACGGCAGACAGAAAGTAGAGGATACACAGAAGAAAAGAATAGTCTTCTTTTGAAAATATGTTTGGTTTCATAGTAAAAATGAGACTATATTGACTGAAGCAATTTTATATAATTCAATCAAGAACAATATAAGCTTGTTATTTAAAAATAATTTTCTTGAATAGAAAGGAAAAGATATTGAATAGAAAATAACATATTGTTGAATCGAAGATTATAATAATTAAAATAATTTTAATGTCAAAATAATTATATTCTTGAAGTGCAAATTATAGTATTTAAATAAGACCGCGGTATTGCTGAAATGTGGGATTCTTCATGGCTTCTAAGAAGATTATAGACTGTTCGGTATGTACAAGACGTGATGAACGCGTTCATTTGAGTATATGAGTATATAAGTTAATCTGACACTTCTTTTTCTGTGTAGAACGTTCACCGAAGGCTACTTCGGACCATTCAGGTAAGTTTTCGTGAACCTAAGTTCGTGCTTCCTGTAGTTAGAGATTCTCTAGAAAGTTCTCCCGAATAGTGTACGGCATTTATTTGTATTATTTTAACACATTATTAAATCCTAATAGCGTTACTTCAATTCGATTTATTATCTTAAACTCTCCTACCGCGATCTCGATATAACTTACTCACTTGTAATTTCGAGATACAGTCCACTTAACGCTGTTCTTTAAATGCTTCAAATGGCTCCTCTCCTTCTTTCTTTAATAAAACGCAAGAGAAGAGGAACGCTTCGAAGTATTCGTGGTATCTAGTGGACCGTGGTTGTGGAAAAATCAATTAAATTAAGATTCCAATCGAATCCAAATTGGTAATTGGCGAGTCCACTTGATGCTGTTCTTTAAATGCTTCAAATGGCTCCGCTTCTTCTTTCTTTAATAAAACGAAAGAGAAAACTCTACCGCGTCGTGTTAAAATCGCGCGGTCCTCTTTCCGCGATTTATCAACTCGCAACTTCCGTTCTCCGCCATAAGCGCCGACGTAGTATCGCGTTATGCAATGCACTCAGCATCATCAGACTGGCAGAATCGGAGCGCGCGTTTTCGTAAACGAGTAACGAAATATTTACCGATGATCCCTCAGATGGTCCTGCCTGCGGAAGGCCTTTCCGCATATGTCGCAGGAGTACGGCCGCTCGTCGGTGTGCGTCCTCTCGTGGATCAGCAGGTTGTAGCTCTTGGTGAACTGCCGGCTGCAGAACTTGCAGATGAACTGCTTCTTGGGCCGCTGGCCGGTCGGTCGTCGGGCGAGGAACGACGGCGGCTGCGGCGGCGGCGGCACCGGGAACATCCCCGGGTGACCCTGATAGTACAGATAAGGGCGTTGGGAGCAGCAACCGCGAAACGTCAGCAGGGCCGCGTCCTTCAGCCAGTTGCTGATGAGGGTGGTGTGGTAGGTGCTGGCGACACCCTGCGTCGCCTGTACGTGCTGCGGATGGTGCTGCTGGACGTATCTACCACCGGGGAAGCTTGATTTGGTCCATTTCGCGTTTGAAAAAATTACATGCTGCTGCTGCTGCTGCTGCTGTTGTTGCTGCTGCTGTTGCTGCTGCTGCTGCTGCTGCTGCATCGGTCTCTCAATCGTCGGTGGCGTCTGCGGCGGAGTCAGGGGCTCCGTCTTAGTCTCCATCTGCACCCCCGAGCGCTCGAAATAAAGCCGATCACCGCGGAGGAAAAAAAAACTGACGGTTCACTTCATGAATGATCGGCGCTCCTCTGGGACCCGTGGACCCGCGTGAGTCCCGCGCGGAATCGGGGACCGGCGCGCGGTGCGCGCGTACGACGAGAGCGAGCGGCGTGAAGGGAGAGAAGAACGGGACACCCTCGAGAGTGCGACGGAGAGAGGAAAAAAAAAAGGAGCAAGAAGATACTTACTCGAGAGTCGGCGCGATACTAAGCGGCCGAGCGTGCCGCCGAGCGTGCCGTGGCCTGGGCCGGGGCCTCAGGATCGCCGTTTACCTGGCGCCAGCAACGACGAACACGGTGGCTCCTCCTACCGTGTCCCGTACGCTGGATACGCCGGTTGGCGGCTCGACTTCCACAGGGGCGGAGCTTCCGGGTTGGGGTGACCCCGCGGGGCGTCGCGACGCTACCCGCCCGCGGACAACCGCGTACTCCCGCTGCCGCTGCCGTCGTCGCCGTCGCCGTCGCCGCCACGCGTCCGCAAGACACGCCGGCGAGGGTGGGCGGGAGGGAGGGAGGAGGACAGAGGGAGGGGTATTTGCCGCTGCGACGACGTAGGTTGTAAATGTTGCGCCGATGAGACTGACGAGAGATGGAATGGGCGCGCGGATGTGTGCGTGTACGTGTGTAGCCCCGTCCGTAAAATTTGCACGTGATCCCGTGTAAATTAACGTGAGTTCGTTAGGTCCGGGTGCCGCAAACGGCGGGGTGAAGGATCTCTCCCCGAGGGTCCAGGGCGAAAGACACCGGGCCCGACTCCGCTCCGTCTCCCCGATCCGCCGATAGATCATTCACGTTCGACGCGGCGGAGCTTGAATGGGGAAAAGAAGCTGGGATTCAACGGGCGTTTAAAAACATTTAAAGGCCCGGTGTTTCGCCGAACGTCGCTTAACTTTGTTCTTACAGCGAACTCGGTCGGAAAATTTCCATCGGATAAAACCGATTAAATAGTGTTTCCGATGGTGAATTTTTCCGATGAAATTTATCCGATGAAGTGCAGTTACCGATGACATTTTATTGAAAGGCCGATCATATTTTTCGTCGGATATACAATTCAATTGGATATATCCGTTTGTTATTATGTAATTGGATTATACGATTATATTTAATCGGACATTTTTCTCAGTGTGCGCACCGAGTGCACCCTTGTTTAGAGACAATTTTTATGTTTAGGGATCATCTTAAATATTTCTCGAAATATTTTGTAGCCAGTGAACTGATCTGTGTAGCATTCATACGGATCATTTTTTTGGCTAAATACTCTCTGAACATAGGTTTAAGACAAAGTTAAATATAAAAATTGACTATAAATTTAATTCACGCTTGTCTCTTTCTAGAGTAACAGTTAGGAGACGAAGAACGAATTAAGCTAAAGTTGAGCGATGTTGGTGAAACCGGATCTTGATAAGATTCTCTGCGCCGAAGCCCCGAAGAGAGAATTGATACCCGGAAAGCTACCGACGGCTGTTTCTACGTTTGCCGAGGACGGCATTAGAAATTTTCACGACACGGCGATACAATTATACAATGAAAAATGCAAATAGGCTTCAATGGGCGAGCGGCAAATTTTTTACGCGTGAAGGCAGAGCCCGGCGTGTCGCGTACACATATGTATGCATGTACTCAAACGGCACATGCACGTGAAAATCGAGGCAATTCGGTTATTACAAACTCCATTGCAGTGAACGGACGAGCATGTTTCCAGCATGGTGCATCGGGTAATCGACTCACGCAAGTTTTCATGCGAGCCAACCACAGGGTCGGCGGAGCACGAAACCACCCCTACCGTAGATAGAGATTACATATCACGAACCATTAGTGTACAAACAACATGGCGCCACTGGCATATTTTGCGACACGACGCGGCTTGTCGTCCTGGGCCACGTTCCATTCGACGCCCGTGACGCATCGTGAGGCATCAGTCTTCGTTTAACATTTTCTGAACAACAAAGATGAAGTGATTCTAGGAGCGTTGCGAGCGCTAAGTGGAACGTAGTTCCCTAGTCGCGTCCTGGGGACCTCGAGTCTTGAATTTGCTCGAAAGGGAAACGCATGCGAAGATTCTGCAGTAAGGTTGCGAGTCGATTGACTGGAAGCTGCGCGAATCAGCTTGCAACTTTTCTGCGAGGGCAGAATTTTCGCGCGCGTTCTCTTTCGAACGAATTCAAGAATCCAGCTTCTAGGGCTCGATCAGGAATCTTTTTCTCTAGCGTGAACTCGTGAGAAGTGAAAAATTTCATTAACAAACTTGTCAATGAAAAGTTTCACTTTTCACGAGTTCACGTTTGAGGAAAAGATTCACGATCGAGTCTCTGGTCAGGTAGGTTGAATTCCGAAACACTGAAAAGTCCGGTTTACACTACACTGAAAAAAAAATCTGATAGATTCAACCAGTCGTCCGTTAGAAAATGGACGAATCAGAATTCCTTTAGGATTTACCAGAATTTCTTTAGGACTTACCAGAATTCTTTTAGGATTTACCATGAAAGATATTTCACGACCAGAAGTTTGTTAGACGTCACTACAAATCTGGTAAATCCTAAAGGAATTCTGATTCGTCCATTTTCTAACAGACGACTGGTTGAATCGATCAGATTTTTTTCAGTGCAGGTATGTATTGAGCCGTAAGAGATTGACCAGTCAACGTTAACGATTATTCTTCTCGCATTCGATTGGCATTGGTCAATTTCTTACGCCTCGTACGTATGGCCCGTCGGTAAAATTTACACGTAATCCCGTGTAAATTATCGTGAGTTCGTTAGGTTCGAGCGCTGTGTAAACGGCGGAGCCAACGATCTCTCCGAGAGTCAGGGCGAAAGACACCGGCCGACCTAGGGCCTGAGCAGAATGGCTGTCTTGTACTCTTAAGACAATGTTTTATAAACAAATTATCAGATCAAACGACCAAGTAACATGGACAAGCAAAATTTAGGGTGTTCGATAGTGAAACAAAATTTAATTTAGTGTGAAAACCTCATATAAAATTTCTTGTACACGTTACGGCAACACCAGTGCCTTCTTCAACAATGTTTAATGTTTTAAATCGTTGTCTTAAAGCAACGCGCAATAGCTGTCTTGTGACTTAAGAATGCAAGACAGTCATTCTGCTCAGGCCCTCACTTACCGACCTCGGAGCCAGTATTGTTTTCACTGTAAAAATAAAATGCTCGAGCATCCGTCTTTTATTATTTAAAGTTATTGTTTAAGTCGGCAGACGAAAGAAGTTTATCTCCTCGAGAATTTCGTATCGATTGCATGTATAATTTTCTGCAAAACTTTCACATTAATTGTGTACTCTTTCTGGCGAACATTTCGTATTGATTGTATAATTTTCTATAACACAAGTGTGTGGAAAATATTTAAGATATTTTAATCGTTCAGATTTTCTCGAAAACCAACGACGACAGATTAATCATTTCTTAATAGCGCGCAGCTACATTGTTACGTCGTATGGTGTTACTAATTGGGACAAGCATTTGTTTTACTCTTAAGTAACAGCATAATCCATCTTCCTCGTCTTCGGCCAATACTCTTTCCGACGTATGGTCCAGTAATCTCATTATGCGTTAACGATGCAGCGCAGCATGATATTTGGGATATCGATGCTACCGATACACTCGCCACGAATTTACATCAACGTCAAGGAAGATGAATCTTTACGGTAAGCTGTGTTAATGAGAACAAACTGATGAAACCTGTTTGGTAAACGATTGATTTTTACAGCACCGAATCGTCATTATCGTGCGTATCCCAAGCCATCGAGAGTCGTTGAAGCAATGCCGGAATTAAAGGAATTCTTATTAAGATAACGTCACGTAATATCTGTTTTTTTTTATATTATATTTTTATCGCCTTGTCTTTGCATCCGATATTTAGCATTAAATACTTAATCTGCAGTGCAAGATAACTGTACCTTTATAGAAAATTGAAACCTAAATGTGAAAGATACAGATCTTAATTTTGAAAAGGACTTATCTAATAAGGATATTTAACGATGATCAATTTAAAAGGTTTACCGTTTCAACGGAACGAACACAGACAAAGTCGACAACTAGCGGCAAGATATAGACAGTATTGTTATCGGTAACGATATGTGGTAAAGATTGTCTTATCTGTTTATCAATTTATGGCAGCACAGACAGTATGACACCAACGGAGAAACACATCGACGTCCGCGAATTGAGAAGGAAGCGTTTGTTGATCGCGCGGGATGACGTAGCGCGCTATTTGTAAAGTCACTTTCAATTTTCTCCACCGCTTCTTCCTCCTGTAAACTCTTCGTACTATTTGACGTCCAACCTACTTTCAATTACGCTCGTCGATTACACTAACAAGTTTATGTATAATCTTCAATCATTTTTATGAAAATTGAAAAGACCCTTTCTTATCTAAGTTTTGGAAAGCAAACGAATAGTTTCATGTACACCTCGTAAGATTTTACGCATAGATGCAAAGCCGATGTAAAAGTCTTTTCATGAACAATGACGTAAGAAAAATATTCAATACCATTTCGATTATTCGTGTCTTAAACACGCTTATTTTTTTTTTCATTTAATCGAGATATTTAGCCGAACATTGCGAACTTCAAACGAGAACACTGTTCTACCCCGTTGTCCGTAAATTCTTTCGACATGCATAAAAAAAGCGCATGGGAAACTGACAGTATTTCACTGATCGCTTTTCGCCTGGAAAGTAATCTTGCACAAGGGAGGAATGCCCTGTAATCGTTATCGTTTCTCGATCACGCTGCAGAGATAGGATGAGGGGAGGATTGGGGGAGAAAGGAGGAGTGAAAGAGAGAGAAAGAGAGAGAGAGAGAGAGAGAGTAGAGGGAGACGACTCTTCGAAACCTGTCTCGTATAATTCCACAAAATGTTTAGCATACAAAGACAAATATAATGGTCGCCGAGATGAGGTTGCGACGAGATCACGGGCCCCGGGCGGGGATGGTTAATTCAGTTTCAAGCTCCATCAGGCAGGCAGAACCCCTCGCTGCCCGTCCACCCCCTTCGCACGCTCTCGTCACCCCTGAAGCGTCTTTGTACGTCGCCGTCATCCATCTATCTCCCTCGTTTCCTCTCTTCCTCTCCGTCCCTCCCTCCCCCCCCTCCCCTCTCACTCACTCCCTCTCATCTCTCGTTTACGCTCTGCCGCTCCTTGCAAAACTACACAGGTACTGGAACTACC